AGAGAGGAGCCAAGTTTCTGCATAACAACAATTTCTAACTTGTTACCCACATTTTTTTCAGATTAAGCCAGAAAGATGTTGCCTGAGATTTATTCCTAGACCTGAGTCTTTTTTTTTTAGCCCAAAACTATAGACCACTCACTATATATACACTGTACACCGTAAGGAGTTAAACAATATCTTTCAAATTTAACCTCTTGGACAAAGAAAGTGCACTAGTCTTCGGGTATTTAAACTTTTCAGATGTTTCCCCTCAGTTTTCCATTAATATGGTACAAAGAGGAATAGCAGAAGAGATGAGAAGGAGAAATGATTCCACAAACACAGGGCAGATTTCACCCTCTCTGAATGAGATAAATGAGCTCTGAATGAGCTAAAAGAATGATCTGAAAAGGTTGAATATTCATCATTTTTATATATACTAGAATTTTTAACAAGAACTGTTACTGTTAAGAAGGAAAAAGAATCACACTCAGGAGTATTGTGACAGGCACTGCTATGGGTCTTTTCCTGCATTTTAAACTATGCTCCCCAACCAAAAGTTGCACAGAAGCACAGTTGCTTAGAAGAGACCTAACTGAAAAGTAAAATCAGTGAGCAGAATTAGTTCTGTTCTAACTGAAACCAGGACAGCCATGTTGATCTTTGATAAATATCTGCTGGTTAATATTGCATGTTTTGCACAGAGAAAGCTGGGGGTTTCATCTCTACTCTTTGCTAGGGAATTGAGGTCGTGTAGAGAAGCAACCATGTAAAGTGTAAGTGCTTTCCATAGAACTGTGTAAAAGCTGCTCTTAAAGACTTGCTTTCCACCAGTTTCTTGCAAGTTCCCTGCACTGGTACTTGTCTTCTTCCTCTCATTTGGTTGTCCTGCATTGAGTGACTTCAATGCTTCTCTGTAACAAAATTAGGAATTTATTTGCTGCCAGTACACATTTACAGCAGATTGTTCAACCAACTGCATTATCATTCAGTGGCAACAGCACACTTCTTCTCTACACAACACCAAACTCCTCACCAGGTCAGAGTCCAACTCCCCCACATACTCCACCAGTTCTCCTGGAAAGTCCTTTCTAGTAATAGTAATGTTTTGTAACAGGTATAAAGGAAAGTAAATAAGAGCTACATACTTCCTTCTTTGCTAAAGAAATAATTTGGACATTATTTATGCATACGCAAGTGAAGAAACACGCTTCTTTAGTGGTCACACCTCAGACCACATACAAACACTCTGCATAGTGAGAGGATTCACAGAATGGAAGAGAGAAGCTTTGGTGTGGCACACACATAAGCAAAGCAGCTGCTGTAAACTCCTTGAAGATAATGAGACTCCTTCTGCTAGGACTGGCCATACTGATTAAGAACAATCGTGATCATAGGAAGGCCGTGCAGCAGTGTTCTCCCTCAAAATACCTGCGCTGCATGTGGTTATGGACTTACAGACTTCCTCAAGTTCTTCAGACCTCCTCCTCACTCCATGAAGAGGGCAAGGAGCCTGTTAATTCTCCTTGAACTTGACATAGTTTATGAACATGTCTCCCATAGATATTTCCTCCTTTGCCTTTTTCTTAGGCCAAAACGGGTCAAGTAATACTCATTTTCACTACAAAACAAGATTTCTACAGTGAAACCAAGTACATCAGTAGTTTCTTCTATATGCACAATGCTTTCCCATTCATTTTTTTAACAATGAAAAACAGGACATTAAAAGATAAGCAAAAGTTCCATTTTAAAAAGTTATTTAGACAACATTCTCTGACTTTTATCTAGTTCAGTAACTGTGATTTAATTCAAAAGAGTTCAAGTCAATTTGGGGCTGAACTATCCTACACTCCTAGTTCTCAGCTAAGAACTGAGTTTAACACGCTCTCTCTGCAGGGCTGCAGCACAACTTCATAAGCTTGTTGCAGCAGAACAGTCACATCTTCACAGCCAGAATTATGGTACGTTTTTAACACTCATGTTATTACACGATTCCTGCCTCAGTCCAAAGTGCAAACTAGCATTTAACCTCCCCCTTTTCCCACCAATTATTAAACAGAAATTCTTCTTTTCAGGAAGACCAAAAGAATAAAGGCTGTTGGGAATGTATCATCTACAAAAATAGCTAGTCTTATCATTAGCAACCAATACAAAAAATTTGGTTTTCATTTGACTTATCTGTGCCCAGTACCACAGACAGGAAGGTACAAACTGTATGTTTAAGTGTAAAAAATATATACAACTGTATTTCACATTTAAATTACTTTAAACACAACTGTTTGCATACTAACAATCTTATGTACATTCAGTTTTAAACAATACCTCTTTAATATCCACTTCTTTTGTAAAACAAGTTTTATTTTCCTCCCAAAATACCCAATGCTTCTTTAAAATTCTGGAGGGGGAAAAATTCGAGCTATATAGAAAATAGCAAGATGTCTTACAATTGTAACGTAGCATAGCACATATTTTGGACAAAAACAACAGATCATTCAAAAACTGAACCGACCTAAGTCCAACAGGACTGTCTTTAAAAGCTTACTTTGGTTAACAGCAAATCATTCTTAAACAATTAAGGAAAAAATATATATTCTTTTACCACCTCTACAGATGCATTTCCTTGGCATGTTGTAGCAATTCATGTATCTTTACGGATGAGCACTGCAGTTGTTCAGTGCTCTATTTGTATTGTGATTTCAGTAAAACAGATGATACATCAGGTTGCGTTGCTTTATAATTAAATTAGTCCGACTTCCTAAGATCTCTGCATAAGAGAACTCTCTTCTTAAGACTTCCTAAGGTCTCTGGATATCAGAGAAAGAATGGCAACACTACTACTACTTCTTCGCAAGGTTGATCTCATGCAGTACTTGCAACAGCATCATTAAACAGCATGAAACTGCTGCTTCCCTGCTTATCTTTCCTGGTCAGGAAAGGAACAACTTTGGCTGAGCTCTACGTACTCTGACATCCAACCAGCCACACCAGCTGCTGATCATTCAGACAGCTCAAGTGCCACTGGACTTCACAGCAATGCAATGATTTCCTCTGGGCCACTAGACATATTTCAGGTCACATGTGGCCTCTGTATCACTGAGATTTTACTCATTTCCAGGGGAATAAATGACCTTAGATTTTCGCCAGAAATAACAACTTTATCTTTCTTCACTCCTTGCACTGTGAAACCCTCTGAGCCATCAAAAATCAAATGAAAAGGCAAAAATATAAGATTCTCCAGGAAACACTGCATTAGTCACTATGCATCAGTTAAGCTGACAAGTAGAGAAGTCTGACCGATGAGCAAAGGCACTTGGTAACACTCCTGTGAACAACAGTCAATGAGTCAACAATTTCAGCCTTGTGATCCAAGTGACCAGCAGCGAGGGCTCTGCGGAGGAAGATTTTGTGGACGATGTAACCGAGGACTTTTTAACACCTTCCTCTTGAAAAGGAATTGTTGCACTGTTGTGGAGGTCTGTATTCACAAAACACCTGCTGCCTCGAATATAATCCGTCCCCCTCACCAACTGCTTGTCAGACACTGGCCTTGAAAGGGGATGTTGTGTGGAGGGGCTCTCTTCAATGATTGGGGGTATCCTTTCATTACTGAAGTACCTGCAGAGAACATCATCACCTGCGTGAACAGGAGGAGGAAAACTAATTATTGCTGGCTTCAAAACTCTTCAGTAACATTTTCCATTTTTATAAGAAGATTCTGGCTACATTTCAAATTACCTAGATTTTGATCACCTTTCTTAACACACCTGGACATAAGCAGCTGTCAACAGATTTATGGCTTTTTGCATCTTTATTTCTTTTTTTTTTTTTTAGCAACACAAAGAACAAAAATTCACAAAGAGGACACGGTTTGATTGTTAAATTCCAGATTCTTACACACCAAAACCACTTGTACAGACTAGCTTTAGGCAAATCATTATCATGAACGAGATCTAACAAAGCTGCTTGTAACACTATTGAAGATGTGTTACAAGACCAGAGCTGAATCCACATTTATCTGAATGTAATTCATGACTAACCTAAAAGGTACAAATGTTACTCTGGACAACAGAAATTACTTTTGCACATAAAAGATATAATCGCTTCCCTGGTTTTAAGCACTGATCTGTGATGCTTTCTCCATTTTCACTCTTCCCCAGACACTTGACCGTAACAGCTTCTGCTAGAAACATCCTACTGAGCTAGACAGGCCTTTGCTCTGACCCAGTGCAGCTTACATCCAAGCCTGCAGCACTCATTTCAAGTTTTAAAAAAAGCCAACACAAAATCAAAAGCAAAACCATACACACAAAACCCAGCCCTGCCACCTGGTGATCATTCTGTTCGACTTGTTACTTAGCTTGTTGCCAGTGTCCCTCCAGGTTGATGCTTCTTGTATTTTTGCATTAAAATAACAGAGTTCAGCTTCCATTTTCCCCTACAACTAAACCTTAGCTTTCATAACTGTTTTTTTTCATAACTTATTTAATATCCATCCTTCTGTCCCTCTCCTGCTCTGTGACATCTGTAGAATAAGTTATTTACTAACAGCAGCAGCAACAAAAAGCAACTCCTAAAAGGCCTCAGATTTTACTTTGGGGAACAAGATTGCTTCTACAACAGCCTCCACAGTGAGCTAAACAAACAGGAAGACTTAGGAAAAAAAAAAAGGCAGTTTCATAATCAGTAATAAATACCAAAGAAAAGGGAAGGGGGGGTGTAAGAGCAAAATGATAAATCTGTGCTATAAAGAGATAAGTACACATCTGCTCTAGTCATTCTAGCCTACTTTTAATGCTCACAAGAATTTTAACACAGGACAACAGAAGTTTGAGCCTCAGCACTAAACAGCCTCACAAATTTCACAACTGCCATCTGGCACTCCTGCTAAAACCAACAATTGTCATCTTATATCAACTCAGCAATATGCAAACGCTAATCCCCCACTCCTAATTTAAACACTTCCATCCAGTTCATCCTGAGGAAGGGAAGAGAAAGAGGGATGAGATCTAAAACCTTGCCTTTTCTCCCTGGTGCTCGTGGCCTCGAGAAGGGTTCTGCAGCTCCTATCCAGCTCCCATCAGCAGGCATTGACAACGGACGAGGTTTTCCTACAGGCAACACAGAAGGTTGTGAGAAATTACATTACATTTAAGAAAAGAATTTTTAAACTTATATTTTTCCCAGTTAAGCAAGGGAAATATACAGCAATTAGGAGTTAAAATTGCTGAAAAAATATTTCAACATATTTCCACTTGTGAAAAGTAAGAAAACAATATGCTGAAGCTGAACAGCCTGACTTGTGTTTACAGCAGCAGTGAACATAATGACCAAAAGTTATAACCAAACACACATGCAAATGGACAACCACAGGAGCAGAGCACAGCTGAATGAAATTCATTAAAGAAGTAACAGCACTTAAATGAAATTATTTCAGATGTGGAAGTTAATTCAACATTCACAATTTGTTCAGACTGCCCATAATAGCCACCAAGTCTAACCAGTAGTTTAAAACAAATTATTCCAAACTGACCCAAGCATTTATCTTAACAGCAGTAATAAAAGAGGAATGAACTTACCATAGGACGGTGTTTTTTGCCTCATCTTGGCTGGTAGGATATTTGCTTCCATGGGGTACCCAGGCAACTGATCTGAATCAGCAATGGTAAACCTTCGCCTTCGACTCTCCTGATCCAGGAAAGAGTTGGGAGACTCGGCGCCTTTAGACCTAGGTAGCGGCTGACTGGGTTTGTTGCCTCCTCCATACACAAAACTCCCCTTTTCATCTCTGAAAGGACATTTCACTTCAATTAGCAGCTTAAAAGAGTTTCCCCGCTACAGACATGAGTAGGTTTGAAAGATACTTCTAGCACCCAGTCATGCTCCTGACAACTGGCATTGTGCTGCAAACAAGCCGAAAAAAAAACCCGAAGTCAGGTGATGGAAGACTTCACTATAAACATATTTCACAAGGAGAAAAGAAAGCTACCCCCTTCATGCTAATTCACTTTTAATGAGCCAGTAATTTAACACACACAAGTTTAGAGGAAACACCCTTGAAGAAGGTTTTGAGAAATGAGACCTTTCTGCCCTGAGGTTATCAAAGCTCCCAACTCTTGCCCATTCAGTAGAGTTGTGACAGAGGAATGCGTACACAGATTTAACCATCTCTGTGTAATGGCAACACCTATTGTCTTCATCTGAGGCATGAGGCTTTTCAGCCATTGTAAGAGTCCAACAACTGACACTGAATAGTCACCACCTTCTCTTCCATCCAAAAGTAATACCCCCTTGAGAGTTTCAGTAATAAATTCAATGTGTTATATTCACTCACATGCAATTTTGCACAACTTCCGAAGAAGTCCCTTCCCAGAGCAATCCCCCATTCCAAAAACCAGGAACAGTAATTTATAGAACCAGTCCTTGTGAGTACTTTTGAAAGAAAAACTACCCTCCAATTTAAGATTTGTCTGGGTTTTTTTTCCCTGTACATGCTACAATCTTATTGCTTGAAGCAACCATCAGCCAAGCGAGGAATAAAAATACACAGCTGTCTGTCTGAGCACATGCATAGCCCAGTATTCACCACAGCCCCCCAGCCAGCATAGATGAGTTTTTCCAGCTCCCCATCAAGAAAAATGCTGGAGCTCAGTGGACAGGAGGAAGCTATTTATGGAGATTCAGGAACTGAAAATTGCACAGAAGTGTTACACCACAACCAGAGTGTTACACCACATCCGTATGTATGCAGAGAGCTCTCCTACAACACCACCATGTGGAGACTGTGCCATGGGCAGGGAAACCAGCCACTGCTCTCTGCCTCCACAGTGCAGACCACAGAAGACCCATGCCAGGAAGGGAAGAGAACAGGATGATGATGGGTTTGAAAAGAAACAACCACACAAATTCACCACAGTTCCAAGAGAAGAGCAAAACCTGCAGAAGAGAAATTAAATAGCCAAACAGAAGGTGGAAAAACTGTCCTTTCTCCTCTTCTTGGCTACCACAGCTTCCCACATTTACTTTCTTTAAAAGTTAAAAAAAGTTAAGTCAAAAAGCCTTCCCTTTTCCACATCATCCAGGACAAGTTTCACAGCTCACATTGATACTTCCTTCCTTGTCAGCAGAGATTCAGGTCTAAAGGCATCTGATGCTAAATATAATTTTGTGGCTCTTGAGGAAGGATAAACAAGCTGAGCACATCCACATAATTCACCAATGTGCTCGAAATCTTGAAACGTAATTATTTAAAGCAAAGACCAAGGCATTCTAACCTCAGCTGCTAAATCTATATGCTGGGGTTCATGCCAATAGATTTTTTTTTTAAAAGAAGTGAGCATGCATAGGACCAGGTCAAGGTGGGGCTAACTTCTGTAGAAAGACTCTACCTTGGAGAAATCCTTTCAGGCAGCACCAGTACTAACCCAAAGACTGCAGCAGCACACCCTCTGTCTCTCTTATCAGGCCTTAGATGACAGGAGGCAAACTCTCCTCCCTGTGAGTCCTGCATCAACAGGTCAGAGTTTCTCTGCTGTGCTATCTACTTGTAACCTAAAGTGTCAGGGCAAGTCAGGAAGAGTGCCTTGCCTGAAAACTCTTTTGTCCATCAACTTCTCAGGTCAGCTGGCTGGATTCTGGCACGAGTTAATGTGGCTCTGAGAACAAACAAAAGCTAGCCATACCACACCACCAGCCACCCCCCACCACGCCTTCTGTGTACACAGGTCCGTGTTTGTATAGCTTACACCACAGCATGAAAAATAAAATTGAATTAATTGACTCTTCCTTCCCCTCGGTGAGAACATTACTGTTTTACACAACTTGCAAGTTTAGCAACTTAAAACAAGTTCTTTTCTATACTAACTGCCACAACAGTTGCTTCACTTGTTAAAAAAAAAAAAATAAAAGTGGTAAAAGTAACAGACAAAAAAAATTACTTCTTGCTATGCTCAGATTTAAACAAAACCAAAAACAACCACATAGCAAAACCAGGAATGACACCTGTAAATCTTTTGGGAACAAGCCTGATCTACATTGCACACAAATCCTCCAATAACAAAATCTATTACTGTCCTAGTAGTTCACAAATATAAGCAATCCTATATATTTAAACAACTAGAAGAAAGTCTGTGAGATCTGAAATTTCCTCAAGCAAATGTGCACAAAGCTCTAACAGCAAGCCAGCTTGGAAACAAGTGTAATAAAGTAATTTTTTGTTCAGAAGTGCATGTTTATTTGCATACCGAGGAGAATACGGAACAGCTGGTGGAGGTGGTATGTACAGATCCAAAATGGCTGGCTTCTCTTTTTTCAGTGAGGTATCCATGGTGCTTTCAGGTGGCTGGACTGGAGTTGGCAGAGGATTGGTCTGAAAGTTAGATATAAAACACCTGAGCATTGATTCATAATTCACAAGAATTCAATACTATTTCATCCCCTAGTGAACTACTATTTCTATGCTTAATAAACACATTACAAATACTTAGCATTTACTTTTTCCTCCGCCCCCTGTTTTGGCTAGCTTTCCGGTCTCTCCTACAGAAACCCTATCACAGGTAATGCATTGCTCAAGAAAGTTTGTCTTCTCCCATTCTACGTTTTCAGCAATTTCCACAGGCAGAAAAAGCAGAGACAAAACCCGTTCTTGTATTTTTTGATGCATTAAAAGAATGTAATTTAATACAGCTATGATATGCAATATTTACAAAGCCAGCTTACACTACTCTTATTCTATACTATCCAATGGCTGTGGCACGGGCAGGAATATGGTAACGTTAACCACAAATTGCATCAAGGGATATAACTAGTGTAAGGGAAGCAAAGGAAAAATATATTTGGTATTGTTCATCTGAGCAAGTTTGCCATTTTGCTTTTTGAGGCTCACTTCTATGTTCCAAACATTTTTCCAGGCTCCTGTTGGCCTCTAGGAGAGCAAAGACTTGAAGGACCTTTTCACCTTTTTCATGCAAGAGGACAGACAGCACTCTTCCCTTTTTGTCACTGGCCTGTCCACGCTTTCACTCTGGCCACTTGGCTAATGGCACCCTTGCAGTAGCATCTGCCTTCTACCAGTCAGTATGCTGGAGCCCAGAATTGTCAAGAGGTTGCTCCAATCACTCATTTCCCCAAGGAAACGTTGCTTGGCACAGCCTACATCCCAGCCCACCTCAGCTCTTCACATCGGTAACACAGTCCTTGCTTTGGGTAACCCTGGAAAAGTCAGTGGTGAGTTTTCTGCTCCTTTAGCTCTGATTAAATGACAGGCACGATGCCATAATGCAGGTATTGATGAAAGCAAGGATGAAAAAGGAATCAAGTGCACATCTTCTACCCAGCCTGAGAGAAATCTACCTTCATAGAGACTTGTGATAGCCACTGGCTTTTCACAGGTTGATAAGCTATCTTCACAGCTGTAGAGAGACCTGTGTCAGAACAGAACTAGGAACAAGAAGTCTCCCTGGTTTTATCTCAGATAATCAGTTTAGATTCAATTAGATTATTTCCTCCTGTAAGCATTAAGCCCTAAGCTTCTTAATAAATCCAGCCATTCCTCAACGTGGTTATTTAAGAGTTATTAATGTCACTTTCTCTGTCTTCTCATTATCCAATCAGTGAATTGCCCAAAAAACAAACCTTATATTTAAATAAATAGTTTAAATGACTTTTTGAAAAAAAAAAAAAACAAACAAACTCACTGTACAACCCTTCACCAGACTAAGAAGTGGACAAGTATCTGTAATAATCTAAGTAATTTCAGGAAAAAAACCTTATTACTCTGCTAAATAGAGGAGACATTTATTACTCCATGCTGATGAATTCCACATGTATCAGCAGTTTAAGCAGTTTTATCTCAGATAAGTTCTCCCACTGGCACACAGATTTATTAAAATGCTCAACACGCCTAGTCCCTTTGCGTATCAAGAGGGCATTGGGTTAAAAAAGGCAAGAACATTTTATCAAGGAACCAGAGGAGTACAGCTATTTCACCTAACCTTCCTTGACTTATTCTTAAACACAAGCACTTGGGAGCATTTCTGATTCTGATTTCTCAACCTGCAACCCAGGCATTTGCATCCCAACATGGAAGCTGAGGCAGCAGCTGTTCACCTGCACCAAGGGAGGTTTCCAGCGCAGGTTCTTCAGCGGAGCAGGAGTGAAATGGAAAGAGCCAGTAGGACGTTTCTTCAGCAGCAGCCTAACTCCAGCAGGATTCTCACGCAACTTTGCCACCAGATTTTTTAGTTGCCATCCAACCTGGAAATGAAGACATCTTTTATTCAGTAGTACTTTTTTTCTGCAAGCAAACAAACGAGAAAAAAACAACTCCCTGAAGTCAAACCGTGGGATTTAAAGAGAGAAAAGAAATACAAAAAAGCCAGAATGAAGAAAAAAAATTTGGAAAGGTCCTTTTTTTGGGAGGTGGTTCTTGGTTTTGTTTCAAAGATAGATCTCTGCTTCAGCTATAAATTAAACACTGAGATATCAAGCCATGCTCTTTATACCTCAGCTTCAGTCCTAGAAGGATACATGTATACGTTCAGATTGAGTAAGAGGGATTCACAGCCAACTACTTTTGTCATGTTGCTCTCTCACATTGAAAGACATGGCTTACCTGTGCTAAGAAAAAATGTAATAATTTTAAGTCACAGATGTAAATGATTTGACAATTACTTGGGGTTTAAAGCTGATTTTATCTGCATTTCAATAGATTGCAGTGAGGCATTTTAAAACAGGCCTTGAATACAACATGAAGTATTTTAGTACGACACATACAGCATTTAAACATGAAATACTGCAGTTACTTCAATATCAAAATATTGCAAAGAATAAAATTTGCCTTGAAAAAAAAAGTTTTAAAAGTGTCAAAGATTTCAACAGCAAAACACCAGAACTGCCTCCCAACCATTCAAAACATGTGAGGAGTGAGCTTTGCAGAGCAAGCACAAGGTTGGCAAGGCTGCTGTTACTAACCACAGTCTGCCGATTAACCTGGATCACTTCATCACCAGCATGAATCTTCTGAGATCGATCAGCAGGGGACTACAAAGAGGAAAACAAGAGGCATGCACTTCAACAGGTTTTCTTCACTCCCATAACAATCCCCAAACTAAGACAAAGTTTGTGTATATAATGAAGAGCACTGCTGAAAATTTTCGCACAGCTTGATCACCTATTACATCTGTTGATGACCGGGGAAATGCAAACTAATTCAACTGATGATTTTTTTTTATACTGAGTGAACTACAGGGAAAGTGAGAAGGTATAAGCTGCATCTGTCACAGGCCAAATTGTAATTGTCATAAGAGTCATGACTTGAGTCATGAGAGTCTCCACTGTTCTTTTGTCTCCAGTTTGTGCGATTAGTTTCAGACAGCAGTAGAAAAGGACTGAAGGAGAAGACTTCAGTCCTAACACAGCAACTATGTTAAACGCAACAGTCACATAAATGTATATTAAAATGAAAAATACACCAAGATTTCAGAGGTACAGAACAAAGTCTCAAAGCCCTCCAACTCACGTAAATAGACCCATTGCACTTTCCCGTTTTGTCTCCTAATGTAAGTAAGAGCTAACAACTTTAATGTGAAATTATCTGCCTGCATCATCGAGGTCAACAGATAAAAATACATGCTTGCACACAAAGTGTGTGTATACAGGTATTTTTCAAATATTTATCTAATAGCACCCTGGTAACAGGACAACTTCTCCTCCCATTTTCCACACCTCACGAGTAACCACCTGGCAGCAGGCCAGTTCTTCCTAGTGACTCCAGAACTAAGCCCTTGGATTAAGGACTCCCACTTCACCATCACACCTTCAGAGCTCAAGTAAACATTTTATTAGAAAGAATTTAGGAATAAATGGTGTGAGAAGAAAACATGGGGGAATTTGTGGGAGGTGCCAGCTATCATGAGTAACCCCATTTCTTCATTGTCTTCTCGCTTTCTCTGAGAGGAAATGCCTCTGTGGAAGCTGCGCATATATGAGTCAACCAAGCTCAAAAAAATGCTAGGCCAAAGTCAAGTTTGTGAAAAACAAAGCTCATTTCAAGCTGTCCTTTGGACAATCAACAGCCCAACTGGGGGAGAGCCAGCTAGCATAGCAGACACTGCAATCACATTGTGAGAACAGAGGAAAGGGCAAAGTTTAGAGCTAGACCAACATGATGCCAAAAGTCACAAGTAGGACAGCATAACTAAGGAATTTTCTTGGCTGACTGGTATCAAATGCATAGACTTCCTCCATCCTTCTACTTTGTATTATTCTTAATTTTGGGGTGCAATTCCACTGCATTCCAACACACTGGCTTCTGGGTATAGCTACTAAAATAGCATTCCAAATCTAGCAAGAAAATTGACCCACACTGGGTTATCTAAATGATCCCACAACACTAGAAAGACACCAGCTGTTTGCAGATCTCTCAGTCACTAGTCAATTTTGTTGCTCTAAAGAAAAGACCTTCCCCAAAGGAAGAACAACTATTGATAAAAAAGGCAGACACTTAAGTCAACACTCAAAACTATAAAGGCAATATAGAAGTAATATAGAAGCAGGCCCACTCATGGCCTCCAAAATGAGATCTATATGCACAGACAGCTGGACAGCAGTCAGTGTTACAATCTTTCACATTTATCACATGTTAAAAATTGCTGTCAAAGTGGACTTGGTGTCTGCTGCAGATCCTATACAGAGTTATGCTGGGGCAACAATATAAAAGCTATAAAAGCTTTCAGTTTTCACTCTGAACTGCAAGCACATATTTCCACCCACTCCTCCCCAGGCCCCCAGACCTGGCAGGGGTACAACTAGAACCACTGGTTCTTTCCATTCACAAGGAGAGGAGGGAAAAGAAAAAAAAAGTTGCTGCAAAAGCCAAGTTGCTCCACTGTTTTTATTTCAGCCACTGCTCCTGTAGAGTGACATATCAGCCAACACCACAGCATCCACCGTCAGCATCAGCTGCTGTCCAGAGGTCCACTGCAATCACTGCCCAGAAGCCTTTATTAAAGTCTTGACTACAGAGAACTCGCAGTATAAGAATAAAACAAGCAACCATCTGCAGCAAAAAATACAGTTGCTTATCATGCTGACCATTTCCTTCCAGCAGACTGACCTTAAAGTCTTACTTTTTCACCTTCTTGTTGCTCTGCAAGTTAATTTGTCACTGGAGAGCTCCCTGATTTCATTACTCACTACTGAATTCAGCACCCTACCACCTAAACATTCCTGTTCGAGGAGATTGTCTTTGCCAGTAGAGAGCAAATATATTCAAGACTTTGTTAAGCAAGATACCATAAACACTCAGAACAGCAGATACAGTAACTTATTAAAGCAATTATTCGAATGTCAAGCATTGGAATTAACTCATGTACTTGCAGAAACTGGTTTAATGAGACTAACAATGAACCATGCAGACACAAAATATTTACAAGTTGCGGATAAACAAATGATTCATCACACAGTATTTAAAGCAGTAGTAGTATCATGAAAGTCGTATGTAAAACATGAAAAAATAATAAAGTCAAACTAACTCAAAGCAACTATCAGCCTCAGTTCATCTACATTTACTTCACTTACGTTTTCTGTAGTCCCAGTAATTACATGTAATCCATCATAAGTTGATTTGATGTACATTCCCTAAATATAAGTAGAAAATGAAAAGTTTAAAGGCAAAAAACCCACGTAACATACCTGATTAAAGAACTGTTGGCAACAGACTCAAAACATAATTAAAAGCACTTAACAATTCACATTTTCCATAGAAAAGTGTGTCGTCTAATAGTACAATAGTCTAAACCTCTTCACAGATCACTTTTACTGTAATTAATTATAATATTTAGAATTACTTAAACCACCTAGTATATGAAATGCCATTTGGAAACACTGTCTAGTTGCTAATATCAAACACTGCTGGTTTTGCTGTCTTGTTGGTCTTAGCCCTTGAACAAAAGTTGACTTCCTTACTGCCTGGTGTGCACTACAGACTTACAGGGTTGGCTAGATGGCCACCAGCACTCTATGTACAAAGCACGCTTACACAGACGGGCTACAAAACTCCCCTACGTGTTCTTTTACAATTTCTCTTGGCAAGTCAATAAACAGACTGCCTCGTAACCACAGTGCTGACCTGAGTAATAAAAGCTCTGGCAGAACTAACTATTTGTGGCTCTATGTGTTAATGCTGAGTGGGAACGCAAGGGTGAACTCAGATTAAGCAGGTGTTGACCATAGGAACACCAAATTAAAAATCACCAAGAGGCTATGAATTAATAATTGCATAGATTTCCCCACAAGAAGCAACCATTACATTTGCTTCATCGTACATGAACAAATACATCTCTACTTCTCCTACCTACACCTGCTGTAGGTAGGCAGCACTAAGTTCTGTACAGAAGTGGATTTTATTCAGAGGTATAAACCTACCCCCTAGTTTCTCAGTGCAAGCCAGGCTGACTCTGCTTCATTTTATCTTATGCATTAACAAAAAGGTGCCCATAATTTCAAGAATGTGTGACTGATACAGTCAAATCCAGTGGCCTAGGTAAAATTATATAGCACAGTAAGACTGTAAAGATTCCTCTAAAAACATTCATCTCTTCTGCTTTCAGGGCTAGAGAGTGGAATACAAAGGTACTTAAGAATTTAAGTTCCCTTCCAATTCACTCCAACATGTCTGTTCTCCAGCCAGAACCAGCAGCATCCACTGCACAAACCAGATTCAGTAACATTACACAGCTACTGTACATTTAAAAGGATTTCTCATATTTCTGCTAACAGCAAACCTCAGAAATACTTATTCTTCTCTTGCTATAAACACAAATATGTGTTTTTCAAATAAAAAATTAATTTCTTATCACCTTCTCTTTCCCCTAGTCCAGCCCTAGAAAAATCTCTGGTGCTTAAGGTAACCTACAAAAATAAACCAACCCACTTCACAAGCATCTGTGAATTCCCAAAAATCCTGGTTTAAACATAAATCTGCAAAAATTTACCATCAAAAATTACAATAGGGATCGTACCTATTAACATCCATATCCACCTCTGGCAACCACTCCAGCACACCATCTGACCATAAACCTTCAGAGTTGCTCCCCATGCCTCTTTCTGTTCCCCACAGGATACTACTGGTTTTAAAATGTCTTTCTATACACATACGTGAAGTGACTGACAACCTATTAAACACTGGAACAACAGGACACTCCAGAACTGGTTCTTACCAGGCCTTCCCCAGGTTTAATGTTGGTTAAATGAACCTCCTCCAGACATGCACACTGGCTCATCAATGGATCTGTAGTTGATCGAATAGCTTTATCACAGATGCCATTTAAAGTCTTCGCCTACAAGGAGGACAGAGGAAAAAAAAAAAAAAAGACACTTAAGTTTCTTTCCTGGCTTCATCCTCTTCCAGTTTTCAAAAACAGAAAGGAAATAAGTTCTAAAACTTGGTCCACTAATAAAACATAGTAAAGATTCATCAAAATAGAAGACTTATTTGTACAGATCCGTTCTGCAGCATGTGTATCTTCTTACCGTAACTTAATACAAACAACTTGTTTCCATTAGTGCCACCTCATCATTGCTAACAGATGCCAACATATTCTCCATTTAAAAAACCAAACACGCAAAATACAGGGGGGGAAAAAAGTGGCTTGGGCTTGTTTGCTTTAACCAAAATATAACCCATTAAAATATTGAAACATTTTGATGATTCCTTGTGGGAGTGATTGACAGGTTTTCATGTTGTTCTATATGTCTGATATGAGAACAAAATTGGCCATGTGTCAGAGGAAATGAGGTGCTGGCCACCAACTTACCTGCACAAAGCCCTACAATATAAGGTAGGACATGGAGCACTTCAATATTTTGTCATTATTTTTCTCCACCCTGCCTCTGAACTGACCTCTTCTGGAATGCTTATGCAGGCAAGGTTCCTATTTCCTTTTGACCAAAACATAACTGACCCTGAGCCAACATTATAACTGAAGGTGAATTCTGACCTTGAGTGTGCGTCAGTAAAGTCAGAGGCTGAACAGCTTTGTCTTGTACAACTTTTAAGTAGCAGAATAGCTAGTTAATCAGAAGAAAAGCAGAAAAAAAACTATCATAGCCCAAAAACCTGTGCAGTGCCCACGCTCACCAATTTCATTAATACCCCAACAGTGCATTTTGGGTCCTGACGTTAACAGAAGCAATGCTGAAACTCAAAGTAGATTACAAAAGCTTAAAGAAGAGAGGGAGGATTAGTACACAGTACAGTAGTTGTTTACACACAATCTGGGGGCCAGCAAGGTTAAGGCACCTTTCACAAGGAGTTTAAATCCTTCAATCAGAGTAGACATGTTTAATTACAGGACAGGGGGTGTTGTCCTGTATGAGGACATTGATTTGGATTTCAATGGTCCCTGGAAACAATAGTTCCAATGTTGTTTTTTTTTTGTTTGTTTGTTTTTTTGTTTTACATCTGAGTTATAGGTCAGCAATAAAATAAAACAATGCTTAAGTGTGAATGTGAGGAACTGCTCAAACAAGGGAATTCCAAACAACAATACCTATTTCCAGAGTGGGTGTGCACAAACTGAAAAAGAAAGATGCAAAATCCTCCCTTTTACATGGTCTCATTATTTATGAACAGAATTATTTTTAGTTATTGTGCTACTAAATTCCTACACATCTAAGAGCTAGCGGAAGGCCTTATCAAAGAGCACAGCCTGGTTCGTGTCAAAAGCAGGAAGCGATGATTAACTGTTGCAAAACACAAAAAGCATTCCATTACGCTCCTTGTTCAGTCACAAGGCTGCTTCAAACAACCCTAAAACTCAACCTCAAGTACAATCAGAGACAGAACTTCAGCTCTGCAGCAGGGCAGCTCTTTTACATGAAACTTAAAAAGGCCTAGTGTCTGCTTTTTACGACTCTAAATGAGCATCACAGGAATAATTTATTTAGTCTATGATCATTCTACAGCACTACGCCTTCCTCGAAAATCTGAGGTCTAGATTCTCTTGAAAAAATAGCTGTGCAATGAAACTTTATGGCATACTTGTTTCCATGCTCATACACACACTACTCAGCTGTTCAAATTTAATTGATTTCCTCTACAGTAAAGAATATCCCCAAAATGGCCAATAACAACGTTTACTTGCATGATATGCTTGGATATGTAGGATAGGAAAGCTGTTGTCAGTACAATCAAATGTAGAAGCCAGTGCAATAAATGTGAATGCAGGTAGCTGAGTTTCAGTAGAAACTTGTACTTACTACAGTCTGAACTTTATCTTCCATGTCAGCCACAGTGCAGTCCTAAAAACAAGAACAAAAGCCCTATGTTAACCAATAAACATGTAAACACGTCATCTCTGAAAACTCTGCAAAACTGCCACTTCAATCTCAAATTGAAATAGAGTTATTCATGCTGCAGGGATTAATCAGATTAGTTTCACCCAGTAGAGCTCAAATGTACTGTTAAACAACTATTTTCTGGCTCTGGCAGAAAGCAATAATAAACCTTGAAAACAAAGAGAACATGGCATTCAATTACAGAAGCAGACTCCTCCAGAAATTAGAACCCTAGACAATAAAACTAGACTCTTAGAAGGCTGGGCACATGAGCCTGTCTTACACTGATAAACCCCAATGCAGGTGCTTTTCTGCCCCAGGCATCAAAGTGGATCTAAAACATACTGTTAAAAATAAAATGCGAAGTTTTTTTTTTAAACTAATATGCCATTGATGACTTTCCTTGGAGCCAAAGGACAGCACACAAAGCACAGTTTACTCAGCCCAGTACAGAAGTCTTTGAACTGAAACAATGTAATGTAGCAAACTATATATAAACATCATTGTCTTCTGCGAAAAGAGCTGAATTAGAGAATGGTATTAGACTTTCAGATTAAAAAGTTAAAACAGCAAGTAAGGAATGAAACAAGATTAAAAATGACTATAAGGAGGAAAATAACAAAACCCAAGCATTTAAACAATCTTAAATTCCAAGATATTTGCCTTGACATCTCAACCTGCATAACCACCACACTATGTCCAAGAGATGTACCCAGAGCTGTGAATTAAAGCTGTTCCATATTTCTGATTGTCCTCATCACTTCTTCTGTTCATTTCTATCTCTTTCTATGCTTTTAAATACAGAAATTAAAAAAAAATACAGTCCTCCAGATACACAAAAAGGGGATATATAAAATATGTCAACTATGTTCTCTTCTTCATAATTTCATAATTTTTATTCATGTTTTCATAATAAGTCTTAACACCATGTTTACTGTTGTGATGACCACCAAGGACTGAGATCACACTTTTTACAATCTATCAAAAGCTTCAAGATACTACTGCAATGTTTTAACTCCATCGTGGTGCATCAGTGTAATTTTTCCTTCTTAAATCTATCTCCATTAGTCAATAGTGAATGTAGCCTACCATCATGTAGCTCACTACCACGAAGTCCTTCTGCTAATTTCATTTATATTTCCACTGATTATTATTTTAAACCTTGAAGTTTTCCATAGAACTTTAAGAAAGAGTGGAATAAACTCTGTTCCTTGTATAGCTGTCAAAGTTAACTGGAATCTTACTACATTCTCAGCTTGCTTTATTATTCACGCACTTTTACACACCCTTTATGATTATGCAGAGCAGCACTGGTTCCACAAGAGCCACACTGGTCTCTTCTCCACTGGGAGGACCGACCATTTACTCCTACACTCTATTCCCTAATAAGAAATAATTTTGAAGACAAAAAACTCACCTGAAGATTTTTCAGTTGTAGCTCTCTTTTCCACACCAGTGGGCTCTTTCAGAACATTCTAACGTTACGTGCAGTGCCCCAGGACAAAATAGTGTTGGTTCTTCCCCCACCAATGCTTTATCTGACGTGCACCAACCCCATTCTTTATTATAGCTCATATCAAATGGGTCGAGAAGCACTCTGATGCTTTTAAAAGGCTAGGGTTGTATGCAGCAACTTCCATTCCCCTGCCATCAAAGGCTGATTTAACTGACAGATTAGACACCATTTTTAGTAGTTTTATTAATAGAGTTCATCAATCTCATATCTCAGTTTCAGTAGCACTCTTGGATGAACACCATATGGTGCTAGGAACGCTTATTGTTCTACTTCAGCCTGCAAATCTGTAGATGTAATTCAGTGACTTTCTGCAATTGCACATGGAGTGCCCAAACAAGAAGGATGCTCAGCAGCCAGGCAGACCCGTGTGCCTTTGAACTTAGAATGTCCAGACACTGTCTTTTCACAACAACCCAACCAATGTGACTGGGTGTCCTCATAGGATTTTTTTTTTTTTTTGTCTTTTGACATCCTCCCCTCAAAATAAGGAGAGGATCATCCACGTCACAGGACATGGTCCTTCAGAGTTCAGACATCACAGGGCCACAGAGCAGTGGCTATGAGCGAGTTCGGCAGGAACCGAAGCGCACACACAGTGCTCCACAGCCAGAGCAGCCGCACGTGTCAGAGCGGTTTCAAAGACAGGCAGTACTATTCAGAGACTGAAATGACATCATTTGCCAAGATTGCCACAGTGGTTAAATGTCCTTTTAGCTATTACCAATACAAGTGGTCACCACACAGCTAATCAATGGAAAGTTTTGAAATAAAACAGTGGTCTCACACTACTGGAAGAATAAGTCTGGCTAGTGGAATTTGCCTTTTAAAAGAGGCAGCTCCTACCATTAGATGCAGCATTTCCCATCTGATGGCTGAAACACAGTATGGGACGAGACATAAAGAGTCTACAAGCATGAGTATAATGACCAGTGGAGTCACAGTTTTGTTTAGTTAGCACTGATAGCGCTTTATCAACACGTTGTTTGGAACCTGAAAATCTTCAAACGCAGACCAACTGTTTCAAAAACTAACCCTCTTTCCAACAAACCTCAAGAAAATACAAGTAGTCTTTAAACCACGGTCACTTAAGATACAGTCAGCAACAGCAAAATTTCCAGAAATTGAGGGAAAAAAGCCACTCAGAAAAATGGATGACTGAAACAGACCTTCACAGTTTCAAGTAAGCTCTCATTTCCAGATCTGCCTTCCAATTAGCACTCTGCACACAGTGAACACATTACTTCCCCTAACACCTCCCCCCCCTCCCCTCCTTCCCTTCTTCTGGAAAGCAAAGAGGAAAAGAAATCAGCTGACCTTCTGAACAGTCGTAGTGAGATCCAAGCAGAGCTGAATGATTCTGTTCTTCATTGATGAAAAGTCAGCGATACCTGTAAATGGGGTCCTGCAACAAGAGAAAACTCTCTTTAGATTGAAGGGACCAGTCTTCTCTCATCCTGCCTTACCAAGTGAGGAACAGCACATGAGAGTGAGAGCTGTAACTCTGACATCCACACAAGTGTGATGATACAGTTTCAGAATAAATATTCCTGTCTGCATAGTCCAGCTCTGTTCTTACACCAAAACTGGTGAAGGTCTAGCCCTGTAGTACAAAAGTTCAGAGAGCAAAACCAAAAGAAACAGTCAAGTCTTCAAAACTACAGTTCTAGCTGCATGTGCAAGTCAAATCACACTGTGTTATAAGAAATTGATTGCTAGGGACTATATTTTTAACTTCTCAGTCTTTGATTAATAAACCCAGACTAAAGAGAAAAACAAAGGAAAAAAAATCTCTAAAAGAAGCAAAATAGTTTTCTACATTTTACACACAGAGATACAGTGTGCAGTGAGGCTCAATATTAGAAAAGGATTAGGTAGGGCAGCTTTAGAGCCTACAGAGTCTCACCTCACACCCTGCAGACAGCTGAAATAACTAGGAGGGTGCCCAAGAAGTAACCTCAGCAGGTCTGGAAATGGACAAGTCAGCAATCTTGCTAATTGTGAGTTGCAGAAGAGATTTAGGGCGAGCTGCCAGCAACAGGGTGAGAGGAAAGCACCAGGTGAGAGGCACAACCTGTTAATGTCACTGACCGGACAGAGAATCAAGTCCTTGCTGGGGAGCAGGGATATTGAAGGACAGAAGTACCCCTTGCTGCCAGTCCCCGTGCAGCTCCCCTCCTCACATTGCTTCTCAGGAAAGCTGGCAAGGGACTTGGGAATTTATGTTCACATGTTATCATGGACAGCATCCCTGACAGCGCCCAACCAGCTCTGTTGCCTGCTTGCTTCCGCTGCAGCTGTCACAAAACAACTCTGGCTCTTGCCAGGAAATAAAAGAATTAAAGAAAGTGGGGGGGAAAAAAAAAAAAAAAAAAAAAAGGCAGAGAGAGCACCTCTCCTGCAGTTTTAAAATTGCAGACCTAACACCATGACTTCAGCAGAACTTTAAAAATTCTATTAGAAAGGGACCTGCCAGTGACAAGTAATATAGAAGGTGGGGAGGGGAGAGGAAGAAGTCCCACATATGAGAAACTGACCTGAGCAGTAAGACTCCTACTTTTATAAATACCAGTTTGGATGCAATGTTAACAGTTTCACTGGTTTTAGCAAGACTGGAAGCACAAGAAAAGATACCCTAGATTACATCTATCCACTAGAAGCCTTTTGTCTATACCAAAAAAAGGAGTAAGCAAGATCAAGATCCTTACACCCAAGCATCCAGACATTGCCCTATATGGGAGAACAAATTCATTATAGCAGTAAATTATAATATATAGGGTTTATTCTTACCTGTCTAACCATGCAAGCAAGGCTTTAGCAGCACCAATAAGCTCTACCACAGAGGTCAGGAATTCATTGGGGGGCTTGCGAGAGGTATTTCCATCATAATTTGAACTTTTCCTACGGCTGCTGATGTAGTTTTGCAGATTGTTGGATGACGCTCGCAGCTTGAGAACCAAGTTCTTCATATTGTCTGTTTCAAGGCCATAGTTCTGCAAGGAATATTAAGCTTGATAAATCCCCCTATTGAGTCCTCCTACTTATTATGCCAGACATTACAAACTCATATGGGATGAAAAGTCTGAGTATTACCAATTTTTTTTTTTCTGGCTTTTGGCAAATATACCTTCTAAGACTTGTTCTACATTACAGCCACCAAATAATACTGTTGTGGGTGCCAAACCCTGAGTTTCTGACATTAATGAGATTTGTGGATACTTTTCAACCTAAATGAAGTCCCAGTGTCCTATCAGGTCCTATCACCTTTAAAATGTGTTTGGAAGTAACAAGATTGTGTTGTTTTCCTTTTTGTTAAAAGGAAAGTAAGTGCTACTTTTTAAAAAATGTTTTCTATACTGTGGTCCATGAGCACTGAAATAACATTTCACTCACAACTAAAGGCAAGTTTAATCTGGCAAGAGATAAAAACATCAACAGGAAGCAAATGTAATTTCATAGTCAAAAGCTGGAATAAATATTTGCATCACAAGTTTTCAGTAACTGTGCTCCTTGATGACAGCAGTGCAATTATCCGCATATTAGAGGACTGCATTAACACTATATATAGTAATTAAAACCATTTTTAGATATTGTATTTTTCATTCAACAGCATCTTTATAACAATTTTTGAATCCTGCCTGTAACTTCAATTTTATATATTCAAATACAACCAACCCATACCCCATAACATTAACACCCAATTGTTTTAAGCAATACATTGATCATCCCATTCCAAACACACCAAGAATGATATACTGTATGTGTTCTGAAGGCAACTTAATTTTGTAATGAAGATTTTCTTCTTTTTTGCTGTCAGTATACAAATGTGTGGATTACACAGTGATGTGTCGCTGAGTATCTTTTGCTTTTGAGTTATCCTACCTTGTAAAACCTGTCGGCATTTTCTGCAAGTTAAGTTAGCTCTTTTAGAGTGAAAATTCTTACTTATCTGTTCAGGAAAAAAAAATATCACAAAACAAAAAAAAAAAAGAAAGCAAAAAATCCTGCCTTCCTCTACTGTTTTGCTGCTGCAGATTCCAGCTAACAATCTTCAAGTTCCATAGTTCAGTCAGCTATAGATCTACTCTCTCCTTCCCCCTGTCCCCACCCACCCCACAAAAAAACCAAAACAAAACAAAACAAAGCACAACTAAAGCAAATCTTAAATCCGTTTAATTCCAAATTTCCAGGAGTTCTCCATGCCTCCACCAAAGATTACAGCATCACCCAGGCAGAAAGTTTGCTCGGGAGGTCTCAGTCTGACCTCGTACTAAAAGCAGGCTCAGCTGTGAGCTCAGATCAGCTCTCAGGGCTTTAACCAGTCAGGTCTTGAAAACCTCCAATGACAGAGACTGCACAATCTTGCTGGGCAAACTGAACCACTGTCTGACTGTCCTCAGAGTGAGAAAGTGTTTCCTTATACCCAGCCTGAATCTCTTCTTTCAGCTTTTGCACAAACTGTCATCCTCCTACCATGCACCATCATCAACATTCCAGCTCTGTCATCCTGCCAACCATGTTACCCCCCATGGTAGGTGCTGGAGATCTGCTGTTAGGCCTCCCTGAAGCCATCTCTTTCCCAGCCTGAAGAAGTCTCGGTCCCTCAGTTTCTCCTCACAGGTGAGTGCTCCATCCCTGACCAACCTGGTAGCCCTTCACTGAGCTTGTTCTGGTTTGCCCACATCTTTCCTGTACTTGGGGGCAGGGGACCTATGTAGACTCGTAAGTGCCAAGTAAAGGGTGATAATTGCTTCCCACCCTCTCCTGGCCATGCTCCCATTAATGCAGCCCAGGATGCTGCTGACTGCTGCCACGACACACTGCTGGCTCACGGCTTTATTCCCTCCACAGTCCAATATCCATAAACCAGACTGGAATCTCTTACATGAAGTCATTTACAAATGATGAAACAGAACCTTTGGCCCAAAGAAACCCACCAGGGTAAGGAAGTGTTTCAGCCACCCAGATACCTTTAACACACCCACCTATGCATAGGACCTTACTGGGCGTAAGTTACACAAGTGTATTGCTCCTCCTGCTGAGCAATGGCAACCTTCACCTTGACAAGGAAGCACCTTTAAAATGTAGCCAGTAATAGGGCTTGAGAGGATATATCCAATTAAAAAAAATCTCACTCTTACAACAGCAAAGGATAATCTTAAATTTCTGGGACCACAGAGAGCTAAAGATATGAATTACTAAAAAATGTTAAAGTACATACATGACAGCATGCAAGAACTTTTTTTGTTGTTAAAATTAAAAGATAATACAAACAAAAAACCAAGAGCATCGATCTCATGCTTTTCTTGCAGTTAGTTTTCTCCTGCTCACAGGACACTGTGTATTAGTCTATTTTTGGATGAATACTTTTTCACCAACAGGTCTGGATGTGGGATAAGTTCCTGTGACCAAAAGAATTTCCAAATTAGTCATGTGCCAGAAATCTCTTCCTTTAACAGGGCAATTAGAGGATGCTGAACCCTGTCCTTACATAAAGTGAGATATATTTTTTTCTTTTCTGTATAGTGGTATAACCATCTAATCACTTTGGTCAGAACTTGAAAGAGACTTCAAATATTTAAGTATCTCCACATCTTTCTTTGTCATTCAGGTGCAGAAACTGTGCCCATCACCTGTGGGTGTTTGTGACTGGAGATGGCCCCAGCATTTAAAAGAATACATGTCAATATACCAGGTCAGATTCTGGCTTTAGCCCTAGAACATTCACATACTCATTATCACACCTCTTCCACTTTATTTATATAGCAGATCAGTCTGGTATGACTTTTCCAGTTCACCTAGTTTTTTTAATAAGTCTGCCAAGTAGTTCTTAGTTTTGAGGTGGTCTTCAGTAACACAGGTGTTGCCTCTGGAGATATAAGGCTCCAGCTTATGACTGCAACTGGTGTCCCCAGCAGCCTGTCAAGAGCGTACCACAGCCAAGCTCTCCAGACACTGCACCATGCTTTCCTATAACTTCCCCCAAAGACTCTACAGCATGCACCTCATATCCAAACGAGGAGTTTGTGCTCTAAGAAAAGTCCTGGCTAAACACACTGCCTATCCAACACAACAGGAAGTACACAGCTCTTCAGTACAGGCGACCAAATTCTCTATCTACGTATCAGCCCTGATGGATGAATCTCCCCAGAGCAAAGGGTCACCATGACCCAAACCACCTCTGCTCCAGGTGGAAGCCAGCCTCCTCACCTGTTTGCTTCAATACATAGAAAACATCACTTTCCTTCACCAGATATAGCAATATTTCCACCCAAACTGACACTAACTTGACCACCTCACACATAACCACCTATTTCTGCTATTTTCCTGCTCCTACAATTACAGTGTCCAGTCTGCTGGGAGGGCTGGTTTGGGGAACTAAACCATTCCAAAAAAAAAAAAAATTTATTCCTTTTTTTACACTATAGTGTGCTCTCAGCTGGTTTAGCAACCTGAAGTAGCTCACCTCAGGGTCAGGTGAGTGCAAGCACAGATTACTAATCAGAGGAGAGGGCTGAGGCAGCAGCTGACTTGGATTAATTTAATTTATCACAGAGCTGTAGCCCCAATCCAGGACAGATAGGAACACTGATAGCCTAACAACACACCCAACAGCCTTCACAGCACACACAGCTGAAGTGCTTAGTAGGCTTTTTTTGATTTATTTCTACAGGACTGAGGCTACAATGTTTAACAGTTTATTATTTAGGTAACCAGAAGGTTTTAGATGTTGCTCATGAACTGAAGAACACACTGTATTTTCCTATTGCTCCTGATATAAAAAATCCAGGTTGCTTTCACCAAAACACAGGCTGCAGCCAGCAGTCAAGAGCTGTGTGTCAAACATTCCCAGGTCGTTACTCATTAATCTGAGAGCCACAGGCAGGGCTGGAGCGAGGCAGCACACACACCTGCACGAGAGAGCACATGCATAGAACAGCACACTCCTTCCTATCTCTTATGATATTTAATGAGGAAAAAGTACACTGACCAAACAATTGTTCAAGGTCAGGCAGCCAACATAAAACCAAAGCCAAAACAGCACAGCCGTCGTGTCAAGAGCCAACTTGGGCTGATCCAGAGCTCTGCTAGTGCCCAGGGGCAGCATCACCTTCCCCTTTCACAGCCACGTTCATGTGCTGCAGCATGATGATGAGCTGGATCTGCTAGTTGATCCAACTGAAAACCCACCTTTGGGAAAATAAATAAATAAAACCAGACTGAATGCCACCTCAAAAGCTGATCCAACTCACCTCATGCCTACAAAAACACTAGAGTTAAACACATGGTACTGTCACAGTTGACAGTTCTTGCTCGCTCCCTTTATAAAAAATGCATCCTAAAGAATCCTTTTGAGTCCCAAATTTCCTAATAACCAGTACTAAATTTGAGACCTCTAGAAGACTGGGATCTTATGTGGTGACACAGATATGGTGCTTTTGACAAGGATTAACCACAAAGAATAAGTTTTCATTTGTGCAAATTCTATTTTTTGTCACACTGTTATATTTTGTTTCACTGCAAATATGCTGGCAGAACATTACTACCAGTGAAGTTATCAAAGGCACAACACTAAAAACCATGGGGGGTTTTGGTTTTGTGTGTGTGTTTTTTGTTTGGTTGGTTTTGTTTTAAATTGCTTAAAATAAGTATCTCTTCATCTTAACCTCAAGAAAAATCAGCTGGTTTTTTGCTTCCAAACTCTTCCATCATATAGTGTAACTAAAGACTCAGAAATCTAACCCAAAGAACACATTAAAAGTGAAACTATTTACATAACGTTTCTTAATAAAAATAAGAAATAGCAAGCATTAACAAGTCCAAACAGGCAAGTCAGCTCATCAGGGAATGATGAGTAAGTATTCAACCACCACTCGAGATGCTTTTTCTCCCAATTATTTGGCTGAGAAAGCTTATTTTCTGGATCCCTGCCTCTGTTTTTTTTGTAGTCTTCCATGAATTTAAAACCCCCATACGTATGTATGTTTGTTTCTCCCTCTCCAAAACACTTCAGTCAACTAGGAAATACCTTCCTCCCATCCCCCTTTTCTTTCCCAAGCAAATACTGTTATAGACAAAAAGACTGTAGACACTCAAGTTTTGGTTGTGTGGGTTTTTTGTTTGGTTGGTTGTTGTTGTTTTGTTTTTTTCTCTCCACACCTCTGGGGAATCAGTTTCTTTGACATGTCCTCTAAATTCCTTCAATAACCCTTCAATACCTGTTCAGAAAGGCCCATTAGACCAGCTTGAGAGCCACAGAAATGCGTACTTGCAGGAAATCTTCACCTTGTTGTCCTTGTCCACAGTCTCTCCTGCTGCCTCTTCAGCTACAGTTTTGTTACACATGCAGCCACTGCTGTGAGGAGATGAGGGAACAATTCCTCATCACCCAAGCAGCAAACATGCATTACTTTCTCTTCCAGCTGTACTGGTTCTACAGTTTGCTTACTACTGCAAGACCATAACTTGCAGATATATTTTCAGCTTGGCAGTGTGGCTGCCAGAGAGGACTCTATTCCTATGAAATAAATAATTTTTTTAAAAAAATTAAAAAAAAACACCCCACACAACAATTTGATGTCAGAAAACTCATACAGGTATAAGAGGGAAACTTTTATTCTCTCACACAGAAAGAGACAAAGTAAAAAACTGGCTCATTAGAACTTAAAACATACCATCCCCTCAGGAACAGTATCAACAGTGATTTTATACAACAATTCCAAAAACTCAAGGAAAGGGGCATCAAGGTGACAAAGGGCATGCCTAAACCACAGGGATTCTTCCTCTGCCTCGTTTTAAGAGGGAACAAGGACATTTCAGATGCAATATGTGAACTCTGTCTAACGCATTAACTTGAGCTGCATTTCACAAAGGATTTCCAGAAATGAGTCTGAGGTCAAAACTTTTGTCTACAAAGGAAATTAGGAGGAAATTGTAGGAGATAAAACACAGCTTTAGGTTCTGGCGGTCATCCAGCTTTGTTCATTTTATTCTAATATTTTAAAAAGTAAGCAGAAAAAGGTGCCTTTGGGGCTCTTCACATCCATTACTTCAGTCAGGACTGTATACAGAACACAGTGCATTTACTAACCCACTGGATCTCTTCACTCACCTGACAGATTATCTAGACCTTCCCACAACATAGAATGTAATTAGCTTGAAATACAGTTCATTAGATTTTCAACATAAATGTTTGATAGATCAAATACTGAAGGGCAAATAAAAAATGTTTATGAAATAGAGGAGCAACTGCATGTGAAACATTTCAGACGGTATGAAGTGACTTCATTAAATGTACTTATTTCAGGACAGGCTATCCAATTTGTTCCTGATTACGGATTACAGATCACCCCTGTAGCACCTCCCTGCATCAAGTAGTGCACCTAGCACACACATTAGGCAATAAAAACCCAATTTTAAGAATAGTATTCTCAGTGCTGCAAGTCTTGCCTAATGCAGGGAAGGCAGGACAGTACCAGTCAAGGAATTATTCACTCCACTCTGTTCACTAACAGGAGCCACAAGATCTAACCACGCTACTCAGACAACTTCTTTCCTTAGAAGCGCAACCAAGTGAATTAGTGTTGCCTTTTATCAGGGAAAAAAAAAAAAACTATTAACACAAAGCTTGAAAGAACAAAATCTTTACTGTTTTCTTTTACCACAATGTGTAATAGAAAGCAAGGGACACGGGTATTCTGGTTTTATCAGACTTGTCAAAGTTATTCACCAAAAAGAGCACTTCAAGTAATTCTTTGCACGTCTGTTCACCACTTGACTAACCAGTGCACACAGGAGATCCACAGCCTCTAGAACCAGTTCCTGGTGACCAATCCGTGAGATACCCAAGTCTTCAAGGTCCTGATGAGAAATCTGTAACAGCTGCTCACCATTTATCTTCTCCCGTTCAAATTTATGGACATACTGCTGCAGGCAATCATCCAGGCCTACCAAAACACAAAAGAGAAAGGGGATGGGTTTACGAATTTCTGTCTTTTGTTTCGCCCCCAGTTAAAATAACAGAACAAAACAAACCCACCCACAACAAATACAACCCTTGCAAAAGGCACAAAATACAAGTCCATGCAACAGGTGATGCCAAATTATGAAAGATACTTGCAGTGCAACCGCAGTTGTACCACAGGGGTGTGGAAACAAAGCATGCAGGCTGTGTGCATCTTTGGGTCACCTATGTCAATGCACAACCCTTCTGCTCCTTGTGGATCAAGCTTAGCAGGTAAGAACGTCCCTTTGATGTCTGCATAGGCAAAGGTATCAGGGGGCACATGTAAGAGTCAGCAATTAAGGTAACAAAAAACCGTGAAGGGCAACCAAAGCAAAGCCAACAAAAAATAACTAGTGACAAGAAAAAAAAGATAAATACCAGGCAAGAACAAAGATATTGCCCAAAGCCTAGTTAAACAAGCAAACAAAAGCACAAAAAGTCAAAGTTCCCTGTTTACTTATATATAGAAGGGCTGAATGAATGATGACAGGAAAATGGAACAATCAAAGGCAAAGTAATCAAAATTATGTTTGGCTCAAGTCTCATTATTCCTTAATTTATGAGGCCCTGAAGCTTCCTGAATCAGCCATTCCTTCCCCTTGCTGATGACTAATGGCACACACCAAAAAGAAGTTTAATTAACGTCTCTATGAAATACTTTTAAAACAGTTTAGAGTGTTTTGTCCCAGTGATATCCCCCAAATCCTCAATTTCAATTGTGATTCTATGATCCTGTTCTTAATACTATCTTTCCCCAGTGATTACAGAAAGAACTTCTGGTTTTCATTTAATTTCATTTAACTAAACTTCATGTGTTAAGCTTGTTTTCTTGTGTATTCTGGTCACTTCCTCTGTTCTTAAAGATCCTGTGAGCAACAACAATCTGGGGAAAAAATTTGGATGGATGTGTTATTTTAGAGATGATGCAGTATTCTTGATGTCCTGTTCCACTTCAACATATTACTTTGTGCAAAAGGAACAAATCCAATTAGATCTGTTTTGTATAAATACACCATTCACAGAAAACAGTTGATCCGAGCAAAAATTCAGACTACATGTTCAACATCTACTGGTAGCATCCACAATAGCTACATTGTTTAACCATTCAGGTTTTTTTAAAAAAATTAAACCCTTAGCTGTATAAAGGATGTTTATCCACTAAGCTGACTCAAAAGGAAGCCATTGAGATGGACAGGATGTCGAATGCTGCAGATGAGAAGCACGAACAGCATCCTGAGCTACAAGGAAACAAGAGCCAGAAAAACAGCGCTCCGTTCCACTGGTGGAGCTGCGGGAGCAGCCTGGAAGAAGAGCACCCCCAGCACATTCTACTGCCAAGAAAGCATTTGGGACAGATCCCAAGGTGGGTTCCAGCAGTCACACAAAACACAATCGCTCCCCAGCAGCGGCGCGAGCGGTCGTCGCTGCCGTGCCCTGCCTGGCCCCAGCAGCTCTGTACATTATGGACAACGGCACAGGCTTGCCCAACACACATCACCTCAGAACACCCACTCCGAAATCAGTGAGAAGACCCTGGCACTTCGCAGTTGTCACCCCTTTACATGACTCGAGTAAGCTTAATTCCTGCAGTACCCCGAAGTCTCGCTGAACAAGCCGGGCTCCCCCACGCACAGAGCTGCTCGCGCGTGCAGCTTGATTGGGAAGCGCAGTTATGAATGGGGACGCCCGCATGCAAGATGAGCAGAGTCTCCCAGGGCCACAGTTGTTTGGGGTGCACTCTTGTTTCTTCCCATCTGTCTTGGCAATGCTGCATAAATTTTGAAAATTGAGCCCAGTGTTCTCTTTCCCACAAGCACCAAATTCTCCCTTAGGCTACACAAACTCTTTTCCCAGGAAGAAAAATAAAAAGATCTGGCCTTCATTGTTTAACGATTTATTTTTTCAAAAATTCTCAAGCAAGGCCAACGTACAGTGCACATATTTGGCATTCCCAATTTTTAATGCTGTCTTGAGGACCGCTGTTTCCCATCATTTGCCATAGCGAGCCTATAGTTTCCATTACAGATTTCACAAACAAAATAAAACACAATACCTCATTCAGCATGCAGTAAAGTTTAAGTTTTTTGGATGCAGTGTCACTATCCTTTCTGTGTGTTGACTCAACTTTCTAGATCCTCATTCTGTGCTAAAATATGAGACTCACAAATGTATACATCCCCTCCAAGAAATACAAGCTTTCAGCTTGCCTGTGCTTTTATTTTTTTTTAATTCAAGCTGGCCTGTTCTTGAAGGTCTATTACAACTTGAACAACTACCTCTAAAATATTTTTTTAATAAGACTCCTTAAGAACAATGCTTCTACAATCATACTGTAAAACTATCTTTTATAAAATAAATATTACAAAATCACACAAATGTTAATTCAAAACAGCCACAGGGGCACAGCCGCTAAGCTAGAAATATATTTAAGGTTAAGTGACCAAAACTATGCAAAGCAGGAAGTGAAGACAGACTCACACACTCATGGCAAGCATTCACTAAGGGTTTAAGATGAGCTTACCAACATCAGTGTTGTTATTTTTATGAAAAAAACATATGGAAAGGTCCTAAGCATCTTAGTTGAGACTGCAACCACATACATAGCCTGGTGTTTAATTTTCCATCCTATGAATGGACTGTTTAAACACTACATGCGAATCAGAAAACTCCTATTTCTCCAAGAGGGAGAAAAGGGAAGAAAATAAAACACACACACTTATAAATCAGTTCAACAAAATAAAATAAATAATATTTACATAAAGTTTAAAAAGTCAGCATTCAAATGCTGCTGGTAATCTAAAGGAGCCGCTCATTTTTAACTTCTTCCAAACATTTCAGTTCTTTCCATGTATTTTCTCTATGAACTTCAGAGTCTCCTATAGATTTGGTGTCACCCATGAGGAAAGTCTGAATAGTTTTAAGAAACTAAAATACATGAAAAATTCCAAAAACCCGTCTGCTATACTCAAAGTTGCCTTCTTACATGCCAGGTCATTTTCAATAGTGCAATATTATCAGGTTCAAGCAAGAAAAGTTTTCTCTTTCTGAAAAAAATACAATAAAGAATCTGACAGTGAAAAAGATATATTTATCTCCTTCACCCACTGAAGAGCCCTTCCAAAGTCTAACCTACTCACTTTACGCTCAAAGTGTGTTTAAAAAGGATTTGTCTCAATTGCATGTGAGAAAACTTTATATTATCCCTTGCACATACATCGAAACCTTGTACAAAAGACAACATCCTTCCAACTTGCATAATTGTTAGAGAATGAGAGAAGATGGAAATAGGAATAGCAACTGCAGAACGTTACCCAGGTTTTACAATAGTAGCAGCGATTTCAGGAGGAGGGAGACTAGTCTAGTTCATGTTGTTCTTATCACGAAAACCCTCCTGAGGAACTGCAGCATAACTTGGACAAAATTCCCTCCCAAACTTTGGCAGGTGTAGAGATGTGCAATAGACCCTAAGAACTGTCTAGACTTTTCTGTCTAAAATAACCTTCTACCTCCGTGCAAAGCACCCCAGAAGACATTTAATACCTTGCATTCATGCAAACATTAGGATAGGGCTTACGCTTACAGATCCGCATTGATACCAATCTCAGTCTGTTTCCAAGATTAAAAAAGTTATTTTGAATAAGAATGGAGGAGGGAAAAAAAAACAGCTTTGAGGGGTTAAAAAGAGAGGCTTGGGTCTAAGCCATAACTATCAGTTTACTACTCAGAGAGAATTAACATTTCTACTGTTGATATCAGCCATTCAGCAGTGACATAGCTGACTCCCAAAGTACTACAGATGCGTTTAAGTAGAGCTGTGAAATAGTTTAATGTTTTTGGCTCAATTTCTTTGCTGGATGTTACCAATTTACCTACTATAAAGAAAAAAAAAAAATGGTTAACTGCAACATGGTGATGGAGTAAGGAAGGGGAGATAGACTGGCCAAGGAACTGAGGAAGGAACAGGGAGGAGGAATTGAAAGGTGATGGGGATCATTTTCCATTAGTTCAGGAACTTGAGCAAATTATCAGAATAGCTCATAAACTGCCAGAGCTGACAGGAGGAAGCGGGAGGAACACAGGCCACTTGAGCAGAGGAAGAGCTCATAAGTACGAACCATTTCCTTGGCATGGCACCGCCACGGGGACCACTGTTCAAGCGTCTCAGGGAAGCACAGCGTTATTACTATGGACAGGTACCCATCTCTTCTCTGCTGGGCGACTCACAGACTGGCAGCACCAAGGTGCAACTACAACCCCCAGCAGGTCAAGGGGTTCCTTGGATAGCTGGCAAGGTACGTCTGCCAAAGTCTTTTTTTGCCTCATAACCTTAAGAAACACACATTCAAATGTCGTAAGAACCTAAGATTCCCACTTAAAGTCGTGCTTATTCTGGTGTCCCCTTCCAAAGACTCCTTGTACATACCAAATTCAATCCATCCTCCCAAGCTTTGAAAGATCATTAATCCAGGAGGATCTCTGACATACCCCCACGATACATGCCATTATACTATCATTTATATTCCACAACATTTTATAACTTATTATGATAGCTTCCTCCTTTCATTTCCTCCATCTATTTCCAGGTGGGAGGAAATTAATAAAAGCAGCAGAAAAAGGGAATCACGGCATAAAATGAACACTATAAAGAAAAAAGAGCTACTTCATAATCAGATGAACCAGCACCTGAGAAGGTAAATGGAAGTAAGGAAAAAGGACCCACAATACAGATGTGAAAAGCTGAAGCAGCTCAGTGGAACAGCTACAGGGTGGAAAGGAACAAACTGAAAAGTTCAAGGAGGAAGAAAAGCAGGGTCATTTTGTTGTGCTGTGGTTTTTTGTTTTTTTCTAATACAGAATGCAATGGAAAGGTTGTTCCACTGTAACACCCCGGATGCCGTCCTCCTCCTGCAACATTACAAGCAGAGCCAGGAATGACTTAAAGGAATTCCGCGTCCTTTAAAAGAATTATTAAAAAAAAATACATCTAGACCAGTCAGAAGGAAATCATTCCAGTACTAATTTGAGCCTAGTTAAGAACTGACTTTCTAGGACTTACATGCCTGATTGTTTCCTAGCTATCAGGATTGTTGTGTAGCATTTACCTTCCCGTAAGTTTTCAAAACAAAAGTTACCAGTTGGTGAGAGCCACTTTTAGGGGTCAGGAAAGAGCTCAAAGACCTTTGTTCATCAAGAAAAAATAAAAGCCTTCAAGAGCTCTTTGACATTACTGCCTAGTGTACAAAGGCAAAATTTCCTCATTGAATTTGTTAATCCAAGTAGTTTCACTATCACTCATAACTGCCATCATCTGAGATGAACACTAAAAAGAAAAAAAAAAAAGAAAAAAAAACCACACCACTTCTTCACAGAGCAAGAGCTGCTTACCAGCAACACAAAACGACTTCTGCATAAACCGGTTTGTTTATAAAATAAGTTCTGCTCACACAGTCACTTGTGAGCAACTCTTCCACATTTCTGTTTAATCATCTGCCTGCTTACCAAGCAGGCACAGCCTGCTGCCTCACCAGGCATGAGGCTGAGCTTTGCTGAGGACAGGCACTGCCTGCAACAGCACCCAAGTTTCTTGTCCTCACACAGAGATGGAATCAGACAAATTGTTGGCCTCTACCTGACAGCGAGGCAGCTCTCTCATGAAGGTCACAGGACGACAAACAGAACGGGTGAAGCCTTAAACATCGAGTGCTTTACTGTCCCCTCTGTAATCCTCTCTGACTGACAGTGTCACAGACAGCCTTTTGCAACATGTTCCAATTTTCAGTTATTTCCAAATAACCTATTTAACCTGGAAAAAGTCTACATACAAATGTGTTCGCACTACCTCAAAATAAACTCATTCATTCCCTTCAAATCCATCCTTAAGTCCCTTAGCTTCTGAATGCAAAACTGAAAGCTTTGCCTTGAAGTAACTGGTGGATAAATTTAGGCTGTAAAGAATCCTTACCATAAGGACTATGGACACTCTGTTTAACCTTTAGTTGTTCCACATAGATGCAATCTATATGTGGCAGACCTTCCACTGTGCTACACTTTTTACCAGTAATTCCTACAAAGCCATTGATTGACACCATTCCAGCAGTACTCACCATCACACTTCTGCTGGTTTTGGCTGGGACAGAGTTAAATTTCTTCACAGTACCTCATATGGGACTGTTTTGGATTTGTGCTGGAAACAGTGCTGGTAATTTAGGGATGTTTTAGTGCTGAGCAGTGCTTAGGTTGAGTCAAGGCCTTTCCTGTTCCTCACACGGCTCTACCAGTGAGCAGGCTGAGGGTGCACAAGAAGTTAGGAGGGGACATTGCTGAAACAGCTCAACCCAACTGACCAAAGGGATGTTCTCTAACATATGATGTCATGCTCAGCACAAAGCTGGCGGAAGGAGGAGGAAGGAGGGAGGGAACATTCAGAGCGATGGTGTTTGCCTTCCGAAGCAGCGACTACGCATGCTGGCACCCGGAATTCCTGGAGGTGGACGAATTCCTGCCTGCCGATGGGAAGCAGCGGATCAACTCCTCGCTTCCATTTGCTTGCGTGCACGGCTTTTGGTTTTCCTGTTAAACTGTCTTTATCTCAGCCCATGAGTTTTCTCACTTTTACTCTTCCAGTTCTCTCTCCGTCTCTTTGGGTGGGAGTGAGCAAGCAGCTGGGTGGGGCTTAGTTACTGACTGGGGGTTAAACCAGGACGATGGTCCAGAATGTAAGTTTGAGGACAGCTAAAAGTTTCAACACTTCACAGTGTAAATCATGAAGTAAGTTGAGGAAGAATCAGAACAGCTTTTGTCCGTATATTTGCTGAACCTTTCCAAGAACTCCAGCAGGTTCACAAAGCAAGGCCTCTCTTTCTACGAAAGCCAGAAAAATACACTCTGATTCCCCTAATAAAACATTTTCAGGAAACTAAGCAGAGACATGGAGTAAGCAAGAGCAGAGTCTTTATAGAAGAAAATCGTAGGGAAAAGAAAGTCACAACAAGGCCTATAAAGGCAGTAGCAGCACAGAAAAAAAACAGGAAGAGCACTGATAACACATCATTTCTTCCAATACAGGAGTTAGGGAAAGCCAATGAAGCTAGCATGTAACAGGTCCAAACAAGTAATATGCAATGAACATTCAGCATCCATTCAGGTTTGTGGGAAGATGAACAGGTTTATGAAAGAAAATGCCATGGAAGTCATGTCTGACTCCAAAAGACTCAGAAATGATTGAAGGTTTGAGGAAGCCTACAGAGGAAAATGCACAATACATCATCTTCCCTATGATCCTCAATGTATTTCTTTTCGGGAAACTTTCAGGATGGGTCACTGAGCTAGACAGCACAGGAGCTCCACAGCTGTGTCACAGTACCAAACTGCATATGGCAGCTTCCTTTTAATTACTTTTATACTAAGACTTAAGAAAAGTATTCTCTTCACTAGTGAAAGCTACTATTGGTGCTATCATCTACTTTAATAGTGACACAATATTTTCCCAAAGATACAAAAACTCTACATAGAGAAACAGAAGGGAGAGGGGTTGGAGGAAAAGGATATGCATCAATAGTGAACTGTTATATAAATTTAAACCAAAGATATAACCTAAGCTTTTACAGACAGGTAAAAAAAAAAAAAAAAAAAACCAGCACAAATAGACCCTAGTAATAGTAGGAAATAGATCACAGTGAATCACAGCTGCTCTTGTGGATTGTAATCCAACTGGAGATATTAATACACTCCTCTAATTTCCCACTCACTGTTAATTTAGAAATTGTACCTTTGGTTGACCAACAGTGAACTGTCATCACAACTGCAAAGATATATTTGACATGAGTGAACAGTAGCATACAATCAACTGAGATAAAAGCAATTCTATAAATACCTTTTTTTTATTATTAATGACAAAACCATTTCAGTCACTTAAAGTTGAGTTTTCTTTCTTTTTAATACTGCTTTTTCAGGGAACCCATGAAAAATCAGGGGGAGAGGGTAGAGGGTCAGTGGGTGGGAAGAGAAGTGTTTTTCTGCTGTTTTCCATAGGAGGGAGGTTTCTTATTATGACATAGCTCTAAGGCTTCAAATTAAAAAGCAAAAGCAAAAGCAAAATCCAATGCTATACAGATTCAGAAGTGAATTGTGCCAGCATGCTACATTTCTGGAAAAAAAAAAAAGTATGCAGGACACAGCATAACAACATACAGGTTTAACCAGAAAAATCTCTTTATAAAGGGGATACAAGCATGAAGATGTAGGCAAATCATACTTTACAACATTGAAAAATAGATCATTATGCCACAACCACAGTGAGACATAAATTAAAGCTTTTTTCAATTTGACAGAGCATTCCCTTCAGATACAGAATAGTAGGGTATATCAGGCAACAAACTAACAGATTTATGGCATCCCATCCCCACTGACCTGAAGGCAGGTGGGTCAAAACATACAAGCAGTTGTGTGTGTCAGCAGCAGAGCTGGACAGGAAGCCTGTGCCCAGCTGTGGGCCCCTGCTGCACAGTGGGGATCTGCTCCCATCACAGTCATTACTGTCACCCACTTCCCTGAGAGAACACGATTGACTCCACCTTTGAATATTAGGCCACTAGTATCATTTGGCTTCCAGGGTTGAAATTTTGACTCTCCTAGAAGGAAGAGGGAAGAGATGAGAGACACCCTTGTTCAAGACTTATTACTCAGCCCCAGGCAGCCAGACTCCACAGTGCCACCCCAAACACTCATCTTGAGAAATGGGTTTTCAAGAAAGAGAATAAGAACCACAAACAAGGGCTTATATTCAAGACCTCAAACACCTGGCAGCACAATATCTTGCTGGCAGCATTTCAGCTGTAACTCTTTGCTAATCCTAGACACCGCCAGAAGAGGATGGCTGGCCAAAGAAAGATGAAGGATTAGGAAAAAAAAGAAAACTGATGCACGTCAACTTTTTCCTTATGACTTTGGTGTACATTCTTTGTCTGCATGAAGGATTAAGTTCCCCATGATGAAGTAGCTTCACAGGATACAACGCTCTTGCTTTAGGCTTCTCTTTTGAGAATCAACTACAGCACTCACTGACCAGCTATGCCTGGTGAAAAGAATCTTCCATGCTTTAACAGATTTTGTTTGGCAAACTAAAAAAGTTAGATGGAAGCAGAGCATGTCCATATGTTCTCTTCAGATCGACCTGGCACTCTAAGTTTCAACAGAGCATGCAATGAAAGCCAGCATTCAGCAAATGCATGCAAAACACATTAAAATAGAGAAAACACCTGCCCTGGGCAGACAGGCCCCAAATAGCTTTCTAGCCAACACCACAAGATGTCTTCAGGGACACTGCTGACAACATCCTCCCCGACTTCACAGTAAACAACATCCTACTTGTGGCAAGATGCAACTCGTATTCATCCCCTGGGTATCCTGCAGCATGAGCGAGGCAACACGAACCAAAGAAAATGGCAGTGTGTTGCAGCTGTATTGAGCCACTTCTATTTAACCAACATTTATTGCTCAAGTAGCACCTAAGAACTACTATAAACTCCAAACTGAAACAAGAAAACATCTTGCCCAATGCATTAATATGTACAAAGTGCATCTGTCTGTTAGCTGCATTTAAAATAGTTCTAATTAAATGGGTTTAGAATGTCTGCCTGCTGACACAGAAGCACTTCCAGCAAGGACCACACAGATCATGTTATTCTTTTTCACCCTAAGTTTTTATTATTGCATCTGGCAATTAGCTTACCCCCTCCCAAATTATTTTAAACCCACAGAGCCTGGCACTGCATACTGTAGTTGACTACTACAATGGCAGAAAAATTCACATTGAATTGCTGTTAAGACGATTATTCTTCGACTAATTCATTCAAACTCTTTTGACAGCCATCGCATACAGTGAATATACCCTGGTTTTCGCCACAACCTAATAAAATCATTTGCTGGAGAAGACATGACTGACAGTGTCAGCAAATACAAAGCTTTTAGCATGGTAAGCTAATCAGTGTGACTTTCAAGTCACGTGTGTGCATTGGGGAGGCAAGAAAGACAGCTAACTGGCTGTGGTGAGAGAGATGCACCAGGATTTAGGAAGGTTTAAAAACACTGCTAACCCCTTCCTATGTTCTAGAAAATTCTCTCTCTGTTTTTTGTTGCTTGCAACTGATGTTTGTGCCTAGTCAAAAGGTGTTGGTTAAACAGGCAATCAACAGGAATTACTTTATTACATGAACGTGGAGTGGCTTCATTAATTCCACCCAAGCAACAAGTGTAATTCCACATTCATCAGGATAAATTTGTATCCTACAAGCTATCAGTGACATCAAGCATCATCCTCACATACTGTGTCAAAACTCTGACAAGGAAACTCTCATCAAGCTTTGAATGTGGAAACTCTTTCACCCTGGGCTTGAAAAATCTCTTGGATGCTCTGAAGTTGTTCCCCAATTCACATGGGCTCAAAAATCCACTAAGTCTTTCTCCAGCAGAAAACAAAAGCAAGTGGTAAAATCAGAAGTAAAAAGTGGAGAAAAACAGATGATTCCAGTATTCCTTTTTCTCACCCCATTAAGGCTTTTTCTTCATTCTAAGTACACTTTTAAGACATGCTGGCCAATACGTTTTAAATTACACTCAAACGGGAGTTTGCAGCTTCTGTAGTCAAGGTAGGCCTGTTCTTCTCTCTGACTGAAAAATTAACTGTTTGTTCCGTTGACGCAAGTAACAGTTTTGCCTGGGCACAGCAGTTTTGGCAGGAACGACAACAGAGTGGTAACTGGCCACTGGAAGCTGCAATTGAGAAAGAAGTCTATAGGCAAGACCTTCATGCCTCCCTCCACACAGTGCTAGTCTTTGTACAGAACCAATCAACTTCACCACACACCCTCTCCCATACAGAGTATATGGGATGACAACCTGAGAAACAAACTGTCCACGGGCACAAGACAGGATCAGTCTTCTGCAGCTAGGTGGCAACAGGACTGAGGTAGGAGATCAGCTGTCATTTCCATCTTCAGGCTGGTCTAATGCCCTGATGCACTTTGTCAACAAGGCGGCCACATCCTGGACAACATGACCTCAGAATATCCACTTCATTGGATCCTAGGTG